CTGTGGAAGCCAATTCATGGTCCGCGCTCTGTGCCGGATCGTTGAGCACATTGTCGAGCCAGGTAGTCAAAACCTCTGCGTCTGTGACATCCGTGTCGTCATCGTAAATGGTACAGCAAAGATACGTGACAAGTACCTTGGCCTTGACAGAGGAGGCTTGTTGCTGCTGCCAAGCAGATCCAACCCGTTGTAGATAGTCCATATCATTCTCCAGACGTTCCATCTCTTCACCTGCAATCTTGGCCAGCCCCTCAGCCAGCGAGTTCTCAGCTGAGTCCCTAAGAATCTGGTGGTTCTTCCTGTGGAGCGTGGTCTGCAGGTGATCCAGAATGGACGTCTGCGAAGTGAGGTGGGCACTGGTCCCAACCAGCAGCGAAGCAGAGGCTAACACGACCTTCAGAAAAGAGTCGTGCAGAATCATCGCACCAAGTGGCCGTCCAGTAGCAGCATAGTGCTTCGTGTACCGCCTCCACTCCCTCAACCCGTGCTGGTGGGAGCGCGCATTACGCACAATCGACAGCACAGTTTCGAATGCGATGAGGAAGTTCTCCGTCAAAGCTGCTCGGACGTCTTGAATGAGTTGGAGTCTCTCGTATGCATTCCAGAAGTGGGTGTGCTCAGCAGCAGCACTCAGGAAGCCCAGCAGCGAGAGATTGTGTGTCATGACGCGCGCCAGCTCGCCATCGGCAGCGTAGTCGTCGGCCCCATCGTCGACGAATTGTTCCCCCGAGAGCTCCTCTGCTGCTGCGACCCAGCCGGAGAGGTAAGCACCGAGTGCCGTGGCAGCTTGCGTCCGTAGCTGATCATGCCGGAGGCCGAGCGAGAGGACGGCACACGTGAGGTTGTAGGTAAGAACTTCGTATGGCGCGGGCTCGAAGGCGCGTAGGCTGGGCGAGGGCGCAAGCGTCTGCGCGTGTGATGCGATGAGGTATGGGGAGAGGCGTGTCAGCAGCTTCTGAGCGACGTCAACCGACTCGATATAGGGCGCAGATTTGCATAAGGCGAGGACAGCCTCCAGCTCTTGCAGTTTCATGGAGCTTGTCGCCGGGCATCTTTTGAACAACCTCGCAAAGTCGGAATGGGTGGCATCTACCGACGGCGACTGCGCGGACAGACGGGCAAGCTTCTCGAGCGCATTGCTTCGGATGGTGCGTCTATAGCAATACCATGTCAGCTCCTGTATACTTCATTGAGCTTCAGCACTTACGCCATCTTCAAGACGCTTCCTGATGTCTCCGCCGCGCTTTGGTGTAGCGCGGTATAGGAACGCGTGGTTATGAGTTGTCCCTGACCGAGTGACGAAACTACCGCGGACCTCCGAGCTGCCTCCTTCGTGCTGATTGGTCGTAGCTTCCACCACCAACACTTCCCCATCCAGTCGAACAACTCACGAATGAAGACTACGTATACACTGGAGCAGAAAAATGATTCGATTCGATCCGGGGATATGAGTAAAAAGACTCTTCTACACTCCGGTCACATGCCCCAAGAAACCTCCATCAATAAACGCCTTGCCAGATCGCAGAACAGACGTAAAACCCCAAAGGGTCGTCCCAATGCACAAGCACCAAAGTCAACGCCGACACTGAAATGCACCTCAATCGTCTGCTGGTTCAACACGAACCAGCACCTCTTCAAGGAAACCCTCCAAGAAGCCTGCGACCTCTCCACCCATGCCCACCTCTCCTTTCTCGTCCCAGTGATCCAACTCTTCAAATTTGCCCTTTATGTCATTAACTAGGCGAGTGACCTTCTCATGGCATTCTTGCCTTTGCCGTCTGCGCTCAATGAAGCCCTGCGCATCATCCAGCGACCGAGCCGATTCTTGCTTGTTCCTAACGCTAAGATGATAGGCACGACGAGACAGTGCAGCCTCAAGGGCTGGTATCACCACACCGCTGAGTGCTGTGATCTCGACGGGCGCCGTTGGAGAACCTTGCGTTTGAACGAGGCTAGGATGGTTCGACGTCGGCTTGGGTCTACCAAAGGAGCCGCGCGACATGGGCGAAGGCTTGGTGACGTGTGGTGGAGGGGGAGGGGGTGATTGGGCGACTTGTTGCTGTCTTGGTTGTGACTGCCAATTTGACGACATTGGACTGCCAAATGGGTCGTTCGACGATGACGATGAGTCAGGTCGAGATGCAGAACTTGGGCTGAAAGATGTGAACGACTGTTGTGTTGGCGGAAGTGGCTTCTGCCCTGCTAGAGACGGTAGTCCTTGCTGACCAACGAGCGGTGGTAGAGGCTTCTGAACTTGCGCCGGGGTCGGTGCTTGTTGTTGTACCCGAATAGGACTTTGTAACGGCTTCGGTGCTTGGCTTTGCGAAGTGCTTTGACCAGGGCTTGCAGACTGTCCACGAAATGGCGGTATTTCGGGTATAGTCATCTGCGGTAGAACCGAAACGCGGCTTGGAGTTGGAACACGCTGTTGTGGTGTGAGTTCCACACTCCTCATTTCTGCAGCAATCTCCCGTTGTACGAAGTCGTCATAAGTGTGCTGTAGTGGTGTTTGTCGCCTAGGTTGTTGCGGGACCTGTGGCTTTGTTGGTGTGACTAGCCCTCTGTTGGGTGGAGGCTGGAAAAGGCCAGGCACAGGGGACTTTCGTGGAAGCTCTAGGGCTGGTTGGGGGAATGAAGGAGCTGATCTTTTCTCTGGTGATGCTGGCAGCGGTATCCGAGCAGCGGTCCTCACAGAGCCAGGTGAGCCTTGTGTTTGCAATGGTGCTAAGCGTTTAGTCGGCGAAGGTGGTTGTCGGAGGGTGTCGTCGTTCTCATCGCCGTAGCCACCACTGTTCTGTGTAACAGGCTTGCGTTGTGGCGAAGGGTTCCTCGCATTGGCACCCGCATCGTTCATTGGGGCGAGCGCCGGTCCCCGGCCACCTCCTGTTGGCCGCACAGTTCCAAAATCCCAAAGGTCTTCATTGACAGGCTCCTTCCTCTTCACGGGAGTGGCTTCATCTTCTGACTCGGCTGCTTCTTTCGGATATCTGACCTTCCAGTCCTGATATCTCGAGATGAGCTCTTGCAGACGGGCGGGCTTACCAGCCTTTCGGATGAAGTTTGTCTGCAGAAGCTGCTTTGCACTCGGACGCTCCTTGGGGTCTTTTCTCAGGCAGAGTTCGACAAACTCTTTGAAAGCGGGTGAGAAGTTGCCCTGCAGTGTTGGTGGTGGATTTTTTGGAATGAGGAAGAGGACCTTCATCGGGTGGATGTCGGCATATGGAGGCTCGCCGTTTGCCAGTTCCAGCGCGGTAATACCCAGAGACCAGATATCAGCCTTGCCGTCGTAGCCAGATTGCTTAATCACCTCGGGGGCCATCCAAAAGGGCGTTCCAACAAATGTGTTCTTCTTCGTCATGGTCGCCGATAGTTGTCCAGAGACGCCAAAATCAGCGAGCTTGACTTGGCCATTTGCGCTGACCAAGATGTTCGCCGCTATTGTTACATTAGTCTTCTCTCGCATACAGCCGGCCCAGCAGGCGTACCTTTGATGTCCCTATGCAGCTTGTGGTCGTCGTGGAGATATGTCAAACCCATCAACAGTTCCTTCAGTATGACTGCAATCTCAGCCTCTGCTATCTGGCCTGGCTTCATCAAATCTGCGCAACTACCGCCTGAGCAGAACTCCATGACAATCCACAGGTCGGAGCCGGCCAGAAAGGAGCCGTAGTACTTTGTGACGTATGGCGAGTTCATGCCAGAGAGGATCATGATCTCACCCATAATGTCGTCAACCTCGTCTTCGGCATTCTCGACGTCGATGACCTTGATAGCGACGGTGTGGCCTGTCCGTCGGTCAAGGCCCTTGTAGACCTTGCCAAAGCTACCGCCGCCGATGCATTCCTGCTTGGTGTAGAGGGTGTTCGGATCGACCGACTCGTTCGCGCCTAGTTCGGCCATGTGCGCAACCTTGCACCAGGGGCGTCGAGGGCTGTGTGTTGAAACGGATTGGTTATAGAGCAAGAATGCGATTAAGACGAGCGGATTGAGGATATGCGCATGCGCGGTGCCCGGGGTAAAGCGAAGGACTCGGTTCGACAGCGACGGGGGCGGTCGGTGAGCGGATCGAGCAGACTGGTGGCCGGATCTGGTGAAGAAAGGCGTCAGTCAGTGTCAAGGCAAGAGACGCAGGCCGTGGCAGTCGACCACCAAACAAGGCGATGTCGTCTGCACCTACCAAAGAGCGGTTGCTTCGTAAACACCCAATTGCGAGGGCAACAGCGAATGGCGGGGGCCGCAGCGGAGCGAGAACAGGTGGGCAGCTGCGCGAATCGGGAGGCAGGTGTAGTCGAGCCAGAAACCCCAGATACGTCGAGATTGGGTTGTTGTATGGGCCGCCCGAGCGAGAGTTGGCCTGTTTACTGTCCCGCTCGCGCTCTGTTGTCATAGAGGGACATGCATGTCCGGCGCGTCAACGTGCAGGGATGCGTCGCGTTCGACTAATGAGCTCCAAACCAAAAGCAAAAGATCCGTATAATGACAACCATCGGCATCGCATCAAATGCACCCAAGCACTTCTCAGCTATGGTCCTACCATCTTTACCAATGAGTCGCGTCACACAAACTTCTCGAGGGCTTCTAATGTGGTTGCGCGGGGTCGTCTGCTACTATGCGTCTCATCGCCTGTCGGACAGACTAACATGATTGGAGTACCATCAACAGCCTCAAGTTTCGCCATCTTCCCGTTCCAAACCTAGTCTTGCTCACAACGGAAACTCACTTGCACTGCAGGCCCAATCAACATGTTGAAGTAAATACATGTGACGTCATTGTAAATATAATCCTAGTAAATGGTATACGATCAACTGCTCCGCGGCCACACTACAATGGAAGAAAGCGTGTCCTGTCCATCTCCGCACTCACAAACTGGGTATCCATATATCTCGGCCGTTAGGAAGCCATAAATCGTATCAGCCATGGTTCCCAAGTCGTAAAGAATAACAAACGCCGCAAACAGACCCCAACGCGAATGCAAATGTTCCAACAAACCCCCTATTACCTTAGAAACGTCTGCGTATCCTCTCTGCAAGCGCTACATCCTCCTCGCTCTCTTCTTCCACAGGTGCTGGTGTTCTCCGTTCGCGTGCACGGTGTGCTTTCCTTCTCCGGTTGTTGCTGACGTTGCTGGCCGAGTCATCTGGTCCGACCTCGCTCCTCAGATCATCGATTCCTTCGTCAGGGTCGCGCATGTTGGCTGGCGTATCAGACCTGACTTCAATGCCACCCATGCCAGCACCTCTACGCTGCTGCGCCACCATAGACAAACCTGCAGCTCGCTCTCGCAGACGACGGCGCACAGTCTCGGCTTGGTTGTGGAGCTGTTCAAATGCGTCCTCCATAGCCTCCATACCAAGATAGATCTCGCGCTCGATTTCGGCAAGCACGGCAATCTCGGTCTCTTCATCGATCTGCACAGGGGCTCCGCCGGGCGGACGGACAGACCCAGGGCGGGCAGATCCCGGTCGAGAGTACGGACTTGGGCTGAAGCTGCCGTACCGGTTCGGTGGTACTGGTGATGCAAATCGTTGTGGTCCATCGCCGGGTCGGACCTGTCCTGCTCTTGAGCCTGATCGGGGAGGTGTTGTGTTCATATCAGGTAGGTCATCGACGCCTGACCAAAGGAAGCCGTCGAAGCGTCCAGAGACAAGAATCTCCCATTCGTGTTTGGTCACAGCTGCCAACGTAGCAAGCATGTTGTGCATGTCTGGATGGCGGATGAGATACATGACTACCAGCTGGTCGCGCGGTGGAGTGTAGAGTCGATATAGACGCTGTAGCGCCAAACCGGCTTTTGCCAAGTACGGCGGCGTCCCACTGTCCGGCTTTTGTGTGCGAGGATTTGGGAGCTTGTCCAATCCCCATAAGAGTGCATAGAAGAGTGGTCGTTGTGGCTGTTCCAATCGGGTGAGCATGATAAAAGTCAACGTTTCGTCGTCAGCGTCTTCGGGGACACCGTCTTGTTGGTCTGATAGCCAAGACTGCACGGCAACTTTGGTCTTCTTCGACTGCTTCTCGTAGTGCTCGCGGTATTGCTCAGGTACATCAACGTCAATACGCTGGCATGGTGCTTCAAGATCAGACGATATGCCCAGTCCAGGCTCGGCACCTTGCTCATAGGGTGGCCAAGTCGGCAATTCGCAACGTCCGGACACTAGTTCTAAGATTTCTCCCCAGTTGACACCTGCAGAATCTTCCACAACTGACTGCTCGAAGCACATCATGCACTGGCAATGCTCCGAAGATATGTTGCGAGCAAAGACGTTCTCGAGACGATCGAGAAGACGCCGCGCAACCGAACGATAACCAGTGGCTACCGCCAAAGATCCACTGGTGTCCATGACGGTGTTGTAGCTGTTGAGTACATTCTGCAGAGGCTTGAAGAAAGATCGGACATCGTGGGCTTGTGCTCCAGATAGCCTTGGTGTGGTGTACTGAGAATAGGCAGAGGCTGGAACTCCATCAATAGCCGCTAGTAGACTTCGCGGGATAGCTTTGGCCAGACCGCCATTCTGGAGCAGGTAGTCGACGCGAGGAGCTTCCATCATGGCAGGAGGAGGAGGCGGGGGTGGTGGGGTCATTGGGGACTGAGCATAGCTAGGATCTACCGATTGTGTGCGCGACATGGGGTCTGTCATAACCTCGATCATGGGCGGCCCATCCTTGACAGAAGATACAACAGAGGGAAGAACGGAGTGCTGGGTAGGTGTACGTGGTGATGAATCGACCACAGAAGAAGGCGAGACATCGGAACGCGGGGGTGATTGGCTGCGGCGGTAAGAGTTGCGATCTTGTACGACTGAAGTGGCGTCTGAGTCGAGTGTGTATTCTGAGGGCGCTCTTGTCTTCATCTTGACAGGTGTTGACGTCCTGCTTGGTGTCGACGTTCTGCCCGGGGTCGATGTCCTACCTGGGGGCCGAGCGCTGGATGGACTCACGGTCCTCGTTCTCGTCTCCAATTGTGGAGACTTGGCACGGATGGTGCTAGGCTGCGATCCAGTGGTAGAAGTGAGGTCTGTGCCGTCGAATGTATCCTCGTCTCTGACACTTGAGCGCGACGCGATCCGCGGGCCTGCCGTCGAAGTCATGCGCGTGCCGCTGTCTACGCTTTGGCGGCCCTCCTCCATCTCTCTCGCGATCATGTCGGGGTCCTTCCTTCGCATGCTGTTGGCACTGGCCGTCTTCCTAAGATCTGCGCCTGTGGTCGCAGTGAGCGGAGGACTCGGTGGTGCCCGCGGTGGGGGCGGGGGTGGTGCGCGGTTTGGTGGATGCGGTGCGACTGGCCGCTCGCCGTCCCTGCCTGGCGAGGCCTCGCCATCTGTGGCCTCTGGCGTCGAGGTCGACTTCCTCTTCTCTACACCGTCGCGGGAATAGATGCTCTCTTTGGCGTATGTTTTGGAGTGCGACGGGTAGGGTAAGCTGATGCGCGATGTGTTGTCGGAGCCCAACGAGCCGCGGCGTCCCATCTCGGGCACGACGGCCATCTTGTGCGACTTGGACGTTTGCGACGACGACAAGGTCGAGGTGGATGTCGAGTTGCGCACGCGTTCCGTCGACGGGCGCCTGGGCAGCGGCGGGTTCTCAGCGTCGTCTTCCTTGGAGGCCGACGAGCGGGTTTTGCGGGAGCGGGTGCTCTTATGGCGCTCGCGGTCCCTATCCTTGTCCTTGGAGCGGTGGGTGCTGCGCTCGCGGTCCGGGTCCTTTTTGCTGCGGCGGCGGTGCGAGTTGGACGACGTCTCCATGGTGAAGAGGCGGCGTGGAGCTCGTTGGTGTGACTGTGGGCCGGGACGCTGGACGGGCTTCTGCGGGTGCGATCACCAGCGCGGCTATGGGCAGCTTCAATTGGGCGTCGGGTGCGGGCACTTTGCGCGGGTGCGCCTATCAGGACAGCAGCTCGCCATCCATCTACACAAATCAGGGCAGGGTGCGGTGAGGGGTTTACTGTCTTGGGTGCGTTGTAGGGGGAGTTTTGGGTTGTAGTACTCTGACGTGTAGCAGCCAAGTGGGCCGGGCTCGGGACTGGGCGCAGTGTTGACTGCGGGCTATCCTTAGCACCTGTCTAGCCCGAAGGGTCTTCCTTACCCACCTGGGCACCCTCACCCATGGATCACCACTGCTGCAACACCATGGCAACGACTGCCTGTGGGAACTGGTTCATGCACGGCATCGCTGTGGCATGCGATGCAGCAACCACAGCAACCGCCTTATTCTTCGACTTTGTCCATTGTGCTACCCGCACTGCCAGGAACATGCTGGGCGCGTGGCTTCACACGCTTTGCTGGCGTGGCAGGTCACGTCACTTCTCCAAGATCTGCAAGTCATGACCGTCACGGGGGACCTTCTAGCAAAGAAACATTGACATGGTGGTAACTAGTCTAATATACAGGTGTGAAGGGTAGTAACCGCAGAACAGGGTAGGAAAATGCCAAACATCGCGAGTAATCTTAGCATGGGGTATCATTGTAACATGCTCGTCGTGATCCTTGACGTATGTTGATCCATGTAGAAGCCCGAAATCTCTCTGTTGCTCAATCTTGGGTTTTGTACTCCATAGAACGCCTCCGTTATCCAAGCACAAAAAGCAGTGCAAGCCTCACCACAGCGACAACATGCAGCAGCAACGTCACCATTCACGCTATTGAGCCTGTTGGTGGGCTTGCGTGTTGTTGACATGCTGCTGAGCCAACTGGGCCCGGAGCGTGGTGATCTCGTTCTGCAGCGTGGCGATCTTGTCGTTGTGTTCCTTTTCCATTCTCGCCATGCGAGACTCTATATCGCGAACGTACTGCCACACATCGACCTGGCTGCCCATGACTTCGCGCATGCTACCGCCACTTCCACCGTGGCTTGACATGCTGCCCGGCTGCGAGCTGCTACCAGGAGCGGCCATGGTCTGGTGTTGCAGCATACTGGGGCCATTGCTTTTGCCGCCTTGAGAACCCTGCTTAGGGGGCATAGGACTGAGCCCAGGGAGAGATGGCAGGTGAGGCCCGCTGCTTGTGCTGGGTGGAGCTAAGCCAACAGGAGGTGTCCCCCGCCCGCGAGTGTAGTTTGACTGCTGATGCAAGTGATGCGACAGACTGGGGGATCGCGAGCCCGGGAGACCATTTTCTGGCGCCCCCAGGCGATGCTGTTCCTGCTGGCCTGGCGACAACGGCCTGGGACTCTCCGTCATGCCACCTTGGGCGAAGACATTGGACTGCGTATTTGCGTTCTGAATCGACGAGATGCTAGTGGGAGCTGCTTTGGGCGAGACGTTAGTCGGCTGCGCAGAGGACCCTGGGTAATAAGGGCGCAAGTTGTTCTGGCTGCTCGAGCTTCGATTCGCAGCAATAGGCGGATATGTGCTGGAATGGTGAGAATACGAACCTTGGGTAGAATTCCCAGTGTTTTGTCGCTTGCGTGCCGGCTCACTGACTCGCCGACTACCGTCTTCGTCTTCGTCGCCCTCACCATCAGGCTCACCAGTGTAGATGACACCGTCCATACCCTCGTCGCCTTTGTCTCCGAGATCGTCATCCATGCCGAAGCTAGAGCGGCGGCCCGCACAGCCACCCTGACCCTTATTGTGTCGCGCAAGCGCATCGCCACGTGCGAACCTGCGGCCACATTTGTAGCACGTGTGCGGACGCTCGCCAGTGTGGAGTTTCGTATGACGTTTCAGATCATGCAAACGACGGAAACGCGCCTGGCACGTGGGACATTCATAAGGCTTTTCTTGACTGTGGGTTAGTAGGTGGCTCTTGAGGTTATGGTGGCGAGTGAAATCGGTAGAGCAGTATGGGCACTTGTGGCGCTTGGTGGAGGGCGATTTGGGCGTATTCTGGCCGTATCCAGGCAGGCTCATCTGGCGAGCCGGGGCACGTGGATCCGGCTCCGGGGGCAAAGGCCCAGGAAACGTAAAGGCGCGATTGCCTGGGTTGTCTCCGGGATTCGGTGCGATGAGCTGGTGGTGCTGCTGTGGTTGCTGCTGGTGCGCGCCTTCCCGGCCTGGATTGCCGGTGGCAGCACCTTCCGCAGTAGAAGCACCCGGCGCGTTCGGCGCGTCACCATCGCCAAAACTCGAGAGGCTGACGGGGCTCGTTTGCATGCTGTCGCCCGTGACGTTGATCTGGTCGGGAATGATGAGCGGCTTCGTCGTCTTGTCAGCCTTGTTGCTTATCGGCGCCGACTGCTGCGGAGCGTCTGAAGGGTGGCTCATGGACTGGACAGTGCCGTTCAGACTTTGCAGCGCGGCGACAGCGGGATTAGGGCTCGTCTGCCTCGCGGACTGTTCGCGGAAGCGGCGCTCATCAGCGATGGCGGCGGCTCCAGTGAGCGGCTGAGGCGAGAGTCGAGGCGACAAGCCGCCGGGGGACTTTGTGAGATGGGTGCCAAAGGTCGCTCCGCCGTTGGCATTGCGCGCGGCAGAACCTGGGGTATTAGGCCCATTGTGGGTGGTGAATGGGCCGGTAGGCGTCGGCGTGATTGCTCGCGTCGAGGCAGCCATGGTGTGGAGCGGCGAGACGGTTCAATGAGCGTATCTTTGAGATGGGTCAGCATGGCTTCTTTCTTTCCAATGATAGTATGCGCGTCACCCGTCTCGACTGTCCAGACGGAGTGGGTGCGCATGCATGGGTCGGCTAACCTTTGGGTGGATGCAGCCTCTGGTGAGGGCGCAGATGGCCGTCGTCTACCAACACTCCAGATAGACTTGGGCCGTGGAAAGCGCCAGCTTCGCAATTGACAGACGTTAGATTGCTCGCATGTGCCCTCGGTCGCAAATTGCGGCTCGGGCCAACCAAGGCGATCTGCTGGCTATTTTCCGAGCAGACGAGTAGCACGGGACGCGCAAGCACGGCGGCTGCGCGAGGAAGGCAGGTGAAGAGGCGCTGCTCGAGGAAGCCGATAAATGAGGCGTGGCCGTGGAGGAGGGGTCTTCAGTCGGCACGATGTGCGACGTGCAGGCGGACGTGGGAGCAGAATCGCGATCCTGGACGTGGTGCAACTAAGCGGTCGCAGGGTCGTAGGGTGCAGGTCGTCTGGTAGTCAAGGTGCCGATGACGAGGGCCCGTTGGGGACTCTTGTGGCTGATGATGGTTCCAGTCCGGGCTAAGTAAGCAGGCTGGCGTGCGGGCGTGCGTGCGCTCAAAGACGGCGACGCTGGCAGACAGTCACGGGACTTGGATGCGGCGGCGCTTCAGTCTCGAGCGGCTGCCGTGCAATGGAGCGCGCGATGGGTGCAGACACTTGGAGGAGACGAGCAGACAGTCCGGCGATGGGACTTGGGACTTCGGCAGCAGACAAGAGGCAGCCTCAGCGCAGCGCGGCGGCTTCAACGGAACAACGCAAGCCTTTTGGGGCTGTGTATCGCCGCGGCCAACCACGCTGCGCTGCAACGACCCACCGCCAAACATCCAAGACGTGCCTCTCCAAACAACTGCGTCGCAACACGAGACACGTCGACGCCACACGCCCCGCGAGACGAGGCTCGCCCTCCCTCCCATCCCTCCAGGAAGATTCTGCCATGGCGACTCCGCGGCGGCGCGCCCACCTGAGCTGAGCCTGCCAATGCTCTCAGCCTGTGTCGGGCTAGACGCGACGAGCAGCATTGAGCCGGTGTGGTGGCGCAGCCCATCCTGCTCGTGCCTGCCTCGACCGCGCGCTGCTTCCCCAAGCCTACCCGTTCTTGCCGATACACCAAACCAGCCGGGTGTTGCTCCAACGAGACGCCTCGCCGCCAGCGCCCGCCGATCCATGCCCTACAGGCTGAAGTCGTCTGCCAGCCTAGACTGCTGCGCTCGACTTTGTTGCCGTCCTACCAACGGCGCCCCTCTGTTCAGCCACCGTGACATGCGTCATTTCTCACCAGACCTTGTTTGCCATGTGCGCCGCGCCTTATTTGCTCGGTACGACCACCATGGGTCCACGCATCGAAGACCGCGTCTTGATCGATCGTCAGGTACGTCCGGCTTGGGTACCCGCCCGCAGCGCAAAACAGGTTATCGCATCCAACTTCACCGTTGACGCCCATGGTCGTTGCCAGTCCTTGATGCGATTCGGCCTCGATGTAGACAAGCCGGGATGGCCCACACCTGTCAAAAAGCAACACTTGTCACTACGCCACAGCCGCCACACGATGATCTCGCCACACTTTACATTGCGAGCAACACCCGTCGACGAGATTCGCCGGATCGCCCTTACCATGTACCTTCCTCTTTTGTATGATCGACTTTGATTCCCGCCACCTGTACAGCACATGGAAAAGCTAGGATATTGCCATCGCTGGTCCATCATTGGGCCAAACCACTTCACTCTACAGCATTACATGCTGATCGTGAACGTCAAATTCAGAACGAGAGCCAGAGGTCATGCCAAGTATATACCGTTGCCTCACAACATATGGAGCTTTTGGATCCCTATTACGGACGGGGACTGCCTGCAATAGTCCACCAAGAATGCCATTATAGGTAGATTCGGACTATTGCTAAATCACGTGTCCGAAGTAAGCCTTAGGCTTTAGTATTTCTTAACTATAAAAACTTAAAAAAATCTTAACTTAATAACTAAAGTACACTATTATAGTTATATACTACTCTAATACTTAAAAGAAATAGAATTATAAAATCTTTATACTTATACGTTAATTCTTCTATATTTATTTCTATTTACGCACTCTAAAATAGCTACTATAACTACTCTTACTTTTATCTCTTAATAAGTAGGCTTAATATTATAAGTATACTTTAGTTACCTAGTATATACTACTTAACTTATTAGTAACTTCTATATTAAGTAGAAGTTTACTAACTTTATTATACTTTTTATAGCTACTTATAATTATTTTAATATAAATAACTTATAAGTAACTATCTACTTTATAGTAATAGCTAATTTTATTTATAGTAATATAAGCCTTAGTACTAATATTAAATTTTTTATATAAAGTAAATATAATACTTTTAGATAACTTTATAAGAGAGTTCTTACTTAGACTACTACTACTAGTAATAATAACTTTTTTATTAATATTAAAAGCTAAAGCTAAAAAGAGTTTAAGATATAAGTAAGATATATTTTATTTAAGGTTTAGAGATAATAAGAGAAATTAGATTAGTAGACTAGTAATTAATAAGCCTATAGGCATGCTCTAACGTTTTCTGCAGCGTAACATTAGGCACTATTGCTAAAACATGCAGCCTCGTAGACCGACTGCTAAGGAGCATGAGGAAGCTGTATCGGCTAAGTAGAAAGAGTCTGACTGATGGCTCTAGCAGCTGTCAGGATGAGCAACAAGGGATTTCCATGAAGACGATGTCGAGTGGTTGAAGGATCCGTCGTATCAAGTATGCAGGACACCTGCCAGTGGTACTGCTGAGAACCAGAGCTCCTCCCGAGTCTTTACCAAGAGTGAGAGCCACCTTCTTCGCCAACGGCAAAGGGTATTTGATAAATTGTGTAACTTAGAGATTTCAAAGCCGTCAGCAGTCTGGTAACGGCGAACCATCTGGCTTTTGGGCCAACACTGTATGTGATACATTTCGAAAATGGGCTTGGCTTTAGTCTCGACTACGATCTGATTGTTACACTGACCCATTGGCGGCTAAGCCATAGAATTGGGAAAGGGCTTAGCGCAAATACCGGAAGGTTGTGTAGCCGAGAGTGAACTAACTCATCTTGACCTCAGACGGGCCGTACGAAAGGGATCGATCTTGGTGTTGCACCACGCTTTACCAATCGTGGCCCACGAGCAGATCCTCACTAAGGACGATCACCCTTGGTATTCTCGTTCCGGCTTACGTGAACATATTCGAGCTGTGGGGGAAGGCTGTGCAGCCTCGCTCTTCAAATGTCTCAAGTAGGTGGAAGATGGAGCTAGGAGCCATGTATTCGCATTCCTCTCATCGATCAAGCGATAGTTGCTCGTTCGAGTTAATTACTAAGTTTGAAACGAGAACATTCCAAACCACAATCAAATCGTTGATCGTGGTACAATACCAGACACGTCCGGAGCATCCGCTGCACGCTGCTGCTGGGCAAAACCCGTTTGTAACGCTCCGCATTGGCAAAGAACTCGTCAATGGCCCTGTCGTCATAATCAAGCCGACGAAAGCTCCGCTCTAGTCAAGTTGCGGAGACGACTGCAGGGTAATCGAATCGGTCCGCAATCCTTCGAGCTGTATTTCCCAAAGACTACAGCCCTGCGAACTAGTCCTACGAAAGTTGTATAGTCTAACGCAGCAGACTTTCTTCCTGTCCGCTCACGTTATTCGTGAGCACATTCCATGCTTTCTTAAACGAGGCGACATTTCTTGGTAAGTCGCATGTTCACCTAAAATCTTTATTGTTTCGCAGATAACCACACACTCTGCCATCGAGTTCTGCATGCGTTGGGACAATATGCGCAGGATGAAGATCGCAAGCTGCATCAAACAAACGCGCAACCGAAACTATACTTGAACTTCGCTTCCTCTTCAAGGAGCGTTCAAGAGTAACAATATATGGTGTATGATATTGTAGAGCGGTCAATACATCCTTGGGCCACCCGTGGCTGGCAGGATCTGACGAATGAGGTGCAGGTACGCGGTTTGAGCTTACCCGAACAGGTCTAGAGAGCTTTGCGCCGACCGCATCTCTGGTTTACAGCACCCATGGACTACTACTGCTTGCCCCATCTCTAATTTCGCTCCCCCGGTTTCCAGATTGCTGACCGACGGGATGAAGTCTTCGCTGTTCTTGCAACTCTGTCGTTGTTCTCACGATGCCCCACTCTAACATGACTCATTGACACATACCTTCTGTCCCAAGGTTGATTTCAAGGCACATCTCGTATATCAAGCAGGCCCGTACAGTACGGTCAACAACCTTCTTGTCTCACTGGCTGTCCCCGCGAAAAGGATTACCGGTGAGCCTCTAGATCAAGAGCTGGAATGTAATGTCAAGAGGGTAGCCTAATGATACATGCGCTATTTGTACAAGCCCACCCGATAGAGCGTTATTGACACCTCAGCCCAACGACAAGGCTGCAACGGCTCGGTCATCCCGCGTCCGCTTTGATGCATGCAGTTACTGTGTAGAACGGACTCTCACCTCACCTGAAAATTGCGTAATACTACACACAGGTACACGGATAGCAGTCACCAATAGCGTTTACTGGAGCGTGCCGACGAGTGAGCCTCAGAGTAATTGGTGTTTCTTGCCGCTGTGAGTCTCAATTCTATAATTACAACACACGAACTGAACGTTTAAAGCTCCATTATAAGTGGCGGGCCGAGAAAATGCAAGATGACAAGCGTCAAAACTGGTTAGCTTTGCGCAGCTACTCACCGAACATCATGAGCGACCCTCTTCGGTGCTTTTCGAAACTTCAGCCGCGCCCTTTTGCACATGAACCCTTCATATCAGCGTCATCATTTTAATGAAAGACTCCACTGCTTCGAGGCCACCACTTCTCATCGGCTTGGCTTGAGTTCGCTGGTGCGGTGGATCATTCAATGCGCTCCTTCATTA